TTAAAGTCACCGACAACAACAATATTGGCTGATGGATAAAGGATGAGGACTTGGTCAATATAATCAGAAATAACATCAAGAAGAGTGCAGTCTTGAGATGAAGGTGAGCGATATAGAACAAAGAGAAAGGTGATAGAGTGAAGTGGTGCTAAACGAAAGCACATAAAAGAGTAGTCTGTGGATTCAAACCTAGTTTCCCGACAAACGGGTGAATTCTTACGAATGTAAATGCCTAGACCAAGCATGTGACTATTGGAGTTTTTACGAATTAAAGGAAGATAACCATCAACACTAAGATCGCAAGATGAAACAGCTGAACTCAAATTAGTCTCACAAAGAGCAAGTAGGTCTGGTGAACTTTGCAAGAGATAAGACTCAACAGAAGAAAAGTTACTTTGAAGACCACGAATATTGGTGAATGATAGGTTTAGCGAACTTGGTGATGACTGTGGTTTTTTGTGTTTTATAGTTTTTGTTACTTTATTCATTTTTAAAATTTGTTAAAGAACTTGACTCGAAACATAGATAGTACTCAGTACACTGTTTTATAGCCCAAGCAATTGCCTCATTTCTATTAATAAACCCTAAGCCGTAACAAAGGGCTCCAATGTGGCCTTGGCAATGCACACCTAAAGTACAAACAGGGACACCATCCATGCGCTACCATTCCAAACTCTGTGAGCTACCACAGAGTTTGGAAAACCTGACTACCAGCCGGCCTCAGAACCATAAAACTGAGTTTTAGAGCTGTACCCTCATTTGGAGATAATAGAATGAGTTGCCTAGTCATAAAAACAGACACACAAGCAAAACTCATGCATCGAGTCAAGAAGATCCAGCTTTTAACATCCTAAACTGGAAACAATGTATTAAAAAAAAAATTTACGAACAACCTAATAGATGGAATACTTTACGAACAGTGCTGTCGAACAGTGCTCCCAACCAACCTGTCATTAGCCAGTTTAAATCTTAAAAACTTTCCATCACTAAATAAAAAATCTTCCATCACTAGGTGTATTGCTAAATAAAAACTCTTTATATTTAGTAAAGAACCCCTAAGTTTGAAAAAGGGCCCCTAATTTGCAGGCCTTGCAAATATTCTAGCATGGCTAGCCTCCATGCTTACCAACTACATATAAAAAACTATGTAGTTTGGGGGTAAAAAGTTTGTTGAATTTTTAGTTATAAGTCTTTAAAATTGCGTCACAGAAGTAAATTAGTTCAAAAACCAATTTTAACTTTGTTACATCGTCAACATTTTTCTGCAAGAGAACCATGGCTTGGCCCATCGATTTACAATAAAATTGCACACCTCTATTATTGATTCTTTTTTTGTCTGAGTCAAAAACATATCCTTCAAAAAATAGATAACTCTTAAATTCCATCGTGCATTTGAAATAGGCCCAGGTTTAGAATAATGAATCACTGGTAAATTAATTGTGTCTTGATAAGACTTGTATTCTTTACATAATAAATCCAGCTCTGTATAGTCATTCCTGACATATTTTTTACTTTTAATAACTGGCCCTTTAGGCTTGTATTTTAAAATTAAATCATTGTAGTTACTAATCAACTTATTAAAGAACTAGTAATTTATATTAGGCGATGTTAATAAGGAATCAAACTTTAAGTTCATAAATGCTTAAGAATCAGGTCGAGAACATGAAGTTGACAAGGTAAAAAACACTAAACCTGGAACAATTTTTGTCAAATGCCTAATTATTCTATTTTTAGAACCTGTATTTAATTCAGTGGTGTCACATATTACAACGAAAATTTTATTTAATAAATTAATTTCCAAAAAAATATTGTATAACATGTCATAAATAGAAACAGAGTTGCCTTTCTTTAATTTTTTCAAAGATATAACTAAAGATTTAGACTTGCTCGAAATGCAAGTGCTATAATAATTTTGCTTGTCTATGCTTTTACCATCAAAATGTAAGCACCACATTTCTTTAGAAGATATAAGACCTAATCAAGCTTAATTCATGCACAAGTGTTTTAGATGTTTTTTGGACTGCGGATCTGCAGATTGATGTCTCAACAACTGCAATGAGTACAGCTTCTGCAATCTTTGCCATACAACTTATTGGATACCCTTCATTTTCAGATATCATTGCTACTATTTTATTGGTGATCTTTGCACGTTTCAATGGGATTGTGTAATCATCACTTGTACTTTTATCTTCTAAACTTTCATTACTAAAATTGACTGTATCATCAAACTGACTATAATTTGTTTCAAGTTCTTTTCTTTTAGGTTTCTGGTAGATGTGTTGTAATAGGCTCTGTCACAATGCACTGCACTTATTGGAAGATTTCTGAAGTTCATAAAAGAGTTTGTCTTCCAGATTTTTAAATTTAGCATTTTTGGGCAATAAGTCAAATAATTTATCCCAGCTATTTAAAGTACTTGTCTTCTTATTTGTACTTTGTGTTGATTTAATAAAAAATTTAAATAGCACACTTTATTTTCTTTGCACAGATTTCTCTGTAAAACTTCTCTGTAATTTTCTCTGTGTTATTCCATAATTGTATTTTACAGATTTCTCTGTAAAATATTTTATTCCATAATTGACAAGTTTCAATTGAGATTTCTTTAATAACATCACTTGATCTAAGGATACCCAATTCTAAAGAGAAATGATATTTTCCTAATATCTGCTGTAAAAAAAATATATACAATATATAATAATTAAAAAGTATGAGTTATTTAAGCAAGTTTTCAATCTTTGATGATACTTTAAAATGGATTTGCGCAGTTTTTTGCATTTATATAGTTTATTTTTATGTTTTTGTGAGCTTTTAGTTTTTTTACTCCACCAAGAGTTATAGATTTGTAGCTTGAAAAAAAATTCCCACCCCTAATGCACACCTTTGAACATAACACAAAATTAACTTTTTAAAAAGAGATGTACAGATGAACCAAATAAAATTGAGTCAACACCAATGAACATAAACACATCTACAATTTTAAGTCATTCAACCAAAACATCAAAATATTTCAGAAAATCATCTGATGATCCATTTGGTGCAGTTTTCACACGATTAACAATAATGGTGTACCATTTATTAAATTTTGTGCATCTTATGCTTTAAGAATACTGTTAAGTGCTAAAAGTTATAGCAATATTCTAAAATCTCTAAATACAATTCGAAAAATTTTGAACGAATGAATGCTGCTAAAATACGTCAAAGCATCTTAGCCAAATGTGAATCAAGGTGAAGGGTCATCATATTATATAAGTGGATTTGTAAAAAACCATTATTATATCAATCTAAATGTACACGCATTTAAAAAATTTGGAGTCTTAGTCTTGCTAGAGATCATGGATCAATTCTACGAGATAAATGTATTGCTCTTTAGAGGAAAAACTTTGAACATTTGGTATTTCATTAGACAATGTGGTTGCAATTGGAGCATCGGTAATAAGGAAAGTTGGAAAGTTAATTAGTGCTAATCACCAGTTTTGTTTAGTGCACAGCATTCAATTGGTAGTTATCAAGTTTCTTTATGATAAATATAATTGTTATTTAGAATAAGAATATTTTATTAATGATGAGGAAGAAGATGTTGATAGTTAAGAGCTGTTCGAGCATTGGTCCAGTTATCAGGTATGCAAGTTTTGGTCCGCAGATAGTTTATAGATGGTATTGGTTCGCTGATAGAAAAGAATCACAAAATTGTTCAAATATTTTGCCTGTCACCAACAAAAAATGATGAAAAATATCAAAAGAAATTAAGTAAAGAACTTTTATTCATTTTGAACACTCGAATCTGTTGGAGTTTTCTAAGAACGATGTTGGAGCATTTTTATAAAGTTAAAACTTCTATATAAAAAAAGTCTTCTTGGTATTAAGTTTACAATCACATTCAACGAAAATAATATTAGCTTATTATCAAACATACTATCAGTCTTGCAGCCTTTAACAGTTGCTATAAAAAGCATTGTGTTAATCTTTGCACAGCTGATATAACATTAAAATTTATGTTAAACAAACTAACTTACCAAAACTCTTTATTAAGCAACAATCGTAAGAATTAATTAATATTATAAATAAAGAATGTCAGATGTTTTTTTATTCATGAACAATTTTATTATTTATAGCACTAAAGTTGATGATTATAGAATATTTAATAAAATCAGTTAAACTGACATAACTAAATTATTTATTGAGTTAATTAAACATATAATTAACAATCAAAATGAATATGTTATCAGTGGTATTGATGATCATGTTAACAATGTAGATGAAGTTATAGTAATAAAAGTACCCTCAGCTTCAATTAAATACTGAGATAAATATTAAATACTAAAAATATTAAAATGTTTTCAGTTTAAAATTTTTTTGAGCTCTATATCGTTATTGTGTGTTTCAGAAAAATATTTAAAATGTGCAAAATTACCGGTAATTTACTGGTTAACCTGTCGTCAATTTTTTTTTACAGAGTTACTTGAAATTAAAAAGGTAGGTAATTTTGCAATTCCTTACTTATGCCAAATAAATTTAAGAAGACATTTATAGCTACTTATCTATTTGGAGCCATGTAAAGTTTTACAAAGTTTTTTAACTTTATTTTTAAATTTTTTTAACTTTAAAACTTTAAGTAAATACATATAATTTATGTTTATGTAGTCATTTCAATTTTTTCTATTTATCACTTGCTTATTATTACAGCATATTTGTTATTATTGCTCATCACTGCAGCGTGTTTTCTAAAAAAAAATTCAAAGTAGTTATCCTCTTTTTTTATTGTAGTCTTATAATTACAAAAATTTAATATCATTAAAAGAAAACTGTCAAGCAATATTATAATTATATAAAGATATAACAATGGTATATTAAGTTTAAGATTCAAGATAAAAATTATGGTTTGAAAAAAAATATTTTTGTATTTTTCGTTTTTTTAAGACAGTTGTTTTTTAAAAAAAAAAAACAATTTATTATCTTATTTATTATCTTGTTCTTACAAAATTCATGATTATTTTACTTAGAAAGAAATAGTTGTCTGTATTGAAAGAAATAATACACCAATAAAGCTAAGTCTTAAACCAGCTGTTTGGAGTGGGAAAGGTTTACTTGGGTAAGTTGTGTTGTGATTTATATAAAACAGTTATATTTATATGAAAGATTGAAAGTTGAAAATTTTATTTTATTAGATTATTGAATAAAATAATCTTTATAATTTTTTTTTTTCCTTCTTCAAATTAAGCTTGTTTTTCTTTAAATATTTTAGTTATATATTTTTAATAAAATGTAACTATTACAGGTTTAGAAATTTTTGGGAATTCATATTGTTAAGTTCTGATAGTATGTCTTTTAGTTTTAGAAAATTATTTTGCAAATAATACCATAGGAGAGTTAACAAATTACGCACAATAAATGAGCAACATGATAGCCAAAGATAAGTACCAGAGATAAAATAATGAGATAAGAAACATGAAAGATGCAATATAAGACTTTCCTTTTTGATAATATAAATGATAATATTAATAATTTTTAAAACGATTTCCAAGTTAAAATTAGCAATCTGAGAATAATCTCAGCTCTTTGTGGATTTCTTGTGGTCATAAAAAAACGTTTCTTCTTAGAAGAGTTGTTTTGATTGAGATCAATGCACAACTAGAAAATTCTGGGCGTGGAGTGAGGTTTGACCTTGAAAAGCAAATATAATTTCTACGCCTGTCTAAGTTAAAGATATTATATGGCACAGTTTTTCAGCAACGTAGTTAAAAAAGCTGTCACCTAAACACTCTGTCACCTTGACAAAAAGGTTTTATAGGGGCTAGTGAAATTTAGGAAAAAATATTAACAAAAAAATTGATAACTAAAAACATTTTTACACTAATTTGTTTAGATTAAAATTTTTTTTGGCTTTGAAACATGTTATAGGATTCTATATTTTACAATTTTAAAGACTTAACTTAGAATTTAAATGATAATCTGTCCATTTTTATAAAGTTTCATTTAAAACTTTCGATGATATATTTTTAGAATAAGAGCTTTTTCAAAAAAATTTTAAACTCTTTTTGTGTTAAATGTTATTTAGATTCTGGTAACAATGGTGTTTTATATAAAACATGGTCGCTCTTGAGTTATTAAGAAAATCAACCCCGATTAAGGTTTATTTAGCGCATTTTGAAAAAAATAAAACAAACAGAATATTAGATTTAACCAATAGAAAACTGTTAAAAGTATTGACAATTGCGGTCGTTTCAATTCTTGATTTGTTGCAGTTTCTGTTAAGGAATGCAATTTCTGTTAATTATGATTTGCGTTGCAATCCCAAGCACGGCTGGTTTACACCTTTTATAGCAAGATCAGACATCTTGTTATATTTTTTGAAATTTCTATTTGTACTTTTAGAGAAATTGATTTTTGATGAAAAATTAAAGCCTTCCCCGATCTTTTTTTATTTATATTATTAAAGATTTATAGAAACTAAAGTAGTTGTTTTTGTTTAGATGTAACGTGCTACCAGTGAAATAAAAGGTTTAGATGTAACGTGCTACCAGTGAAATAAAAGGTTTAGATGTAACGTCCTACCAGTGAAATAAAAGGTTTAGGGTGCTGCTAAAGTTTTAACGCATCAACAAATAAAATGAGAAAATAATAAAAAGTGTGTGAAAGAAAAAAAATGTTAATGAACTGAGAGAAAGAAATAAAATTTTATGTAAAAAATATTATTTATCTTTTAATGATTTTTTTTCTTTTAATCTTAATAAGTGCACTTTAAAGCAATTTTTTTTTTTTCATTTTCTGTTTGGTCATTCTTTGTATTATGTTTAGTTACAAATATATTAATATTTAAACTTTTTTTTTATATATAAAAACAGTTTTAATCTATAGTATAACATAAAGGTGGAGAAATGTAATAATATAAAGTGGGAGAGAGAGGTAATCGCATAAAGAGAGAGAGGGATGTAATAGCATAGAGAGGGAGAGAGAGGTAGTAACATAAAAAGGTAGAGGGAGAGAATAGCCATCAGAATATTCCCTTTAAACTATTAATCTTCTGTTTAAACATTTTTTTTAATTTTAAAAAAATATATATTTTATTTTAAAAATTAAAAGGATATTGCACTTTCAAAATAAATTTCGGCATAAACTACAATTTTTGATAAGAAAAATAATAGCTTGATTAATTCCAAACTTTACAATATAACCATGCAACAAATATAACAACAAGTTTTTACATTATTATTCATGACATCTATAAGGTCTCAAATTTAATGATCATGATGTTTGCCAAAGATGACCTTTTTTTAACAAAAAAAATCTTACATTTAACAATATGAATACTGAACTTATGAAAATTTCTAACTGGTTTAAGTCAAGCAAATTATTAATTAATATTAGTGAAATTAAATGGACTCTCTTTTACTCAGCTTTTTAAAAAAACTATATCTTATTGACAATATTGATATAAAACGTTACACAAATTTTTGCAATTATACTGATAAAAATCTCACATGTATAATCATGTAAGATAAGGGGGAAGCCCCCCTCCCCCCTAAACAGAAGTATTAAACATTTTAAACAAAATCAAAAAAATAAAACATTAATATAATGTGAATAAACAAAGTCCTTGAAAAAAAAATACAAAATGTTTTTTTGTTGCCATAGTAACTACAAAAAACACAAATATGGGCAAAAAATCCATTCACACCGGCCGTGAAAACTAAACAACCGTGCAAGATCTCTTCAAAAGCTTACACCAAATGTTTCACAAAAGGTCAAAGGATGTTTTAATAGTTTTTTTCTTTAAAATGAACTTTAGCTACAGGAAAATGCCACTTTAATAGTGGCATTTTCCTGTAGCTAAAAATCTGAGCGATGTGTGCACATTTAAAGATGGCAAAAAAATTTTTTATTCAAAATATTAAAAATAAAAAAATCTAAACCTCAATTTAAAAAACTGTTTGTGTTAAACCACAGTTTATAATCATAGAAACAACTCCAGAAAATTTCATCAAAATTGGTAAAACAGTTCAAAATTGGTAGAACGGCAGTCGTGTGAAAAAAGACTATTTTGAGAAAACGCGAAAAGAAAAAAATATTAGCACATAAAACTTTAAAACACATACTATAGTTAAAATATCTAATAAAAAGTATTAGAAACCTCCTGCTTCATACAACTTCCCTTCTTTTTCTTTTTCATTATCATTCTTATTATATTTTTTGCCACAAAAAATTTTTTGCCGCAACTTGTTTTTATCAATATTTCTGTATTTAAAATGTGACAGTCGTTTATAATTTAAATTTTTACAACCTTTAAGAGTATATACTCTTGGAATTATGTTCAATGATTCATAAACTAAAATCGAGGCTTTTCAACCAATGGTAAAATTAGCCACTGCATCATAAACTCATAACCTCCAAATTCTAATTGACTGAATGATATAAATCTCATTTTAGGTAAACGCTCCCAGATAGTGCCATTAAAACTTTCATTAGTATTTTGTGTCTTACCTTGTAAGCACTTTTCTAAATGTTGGTCAACATTAAGTTCTGCAAAGATTGGTTTGATTTTATAAACAATAGCTAATGGTAAACCTGGTCCAGGTTTATAAGTATTTGTACCATTGACTTTATCTGAATTACATTTGCATAAACTATCAGCTCTTACTGGACAATGGGGAAAATGTAAATTATTCTCTTTGTTGGAGGCAACATGATAAAGTGATGCCAGAGTACCAGTTTTCATAAATGCTAAATCTCCTACATTAGCTCTAATTGCAATACCAAAATAATTTTGCAACCGATCAATTATCGCATCTGTTAATTTACCTCTACCACCAAGGTTTTTAGTTTTTTTTCTTTAACTTTCTTAATCTTATACCTATACGTTTTCATCACATGAAACACCAGAATCAACAATATCAGTATTCGAATCATGTCTGATTTCCGCAGCAGCATCACACATAGTTTCTATTGCTACTTTTTCCATAACTTTAGAGATTGTTTAGCAAGCTTGTCATAGTTATTTTAAGTCATTGGCGGAGAAATATTCATTAAAAAAGTTTTTCAAGTCCTGCGTGACCATGACCCAACGACCACGTTGTGTAAATAGCTCGCTTATTTATGTCGTATCCCTGCTTACCACTTTTTTTTGAAGTACAAAAACTATTACAAAATAAACAATCTGAACATTTTAAAACTAAAAAAGAGGCAAGTCCATGTTATAAGTTGTCAGACAACACAAGAGAGTCTTAATTGAAGCACATTGGACAAATGAGTTCTTTAAAAATAACAGATAACACTTTTATATCTATAATTCTATATCCAGACAGTAGAGTAGAAGACTCAACTACATCAATTTGTCGTATTTTTTATTTTCATCACTCAGACAGTGTATTACAGTGTCATTATTAATTAAAATATTTACAATTCAAGTGGATTCTTTATTTACACTATCAACAACACCTTCTTCATAAATTAATGATTTATTAATTGGAAAAGATCTACACCTTTTCATAACAAGATTAGTTCGACGTTTTACTCTACAACTTTTTGGCATTCTTGTTAAATTAAATAAAATTAATCTAAGTGTGTTTTTGTCTCCTAATCTCGCATACTTTTGCTATCTGAACAAGAAGTATAATAGAATGAAGCATCCTAAGCCAAGTTTGACATTTTACATCAGCTTTTTGTTTTGTTTTGTTTTTTCAAATACGACAAAAAAACTACACTTTTGATATATCGAAACATCAACTCCTCATTAAAAAACCTAAAATTTCTGCACTTTAGAATGATTTTTATGAAAAACAAATTACATAAATGAAATTTATGGTAATTTTTATGTCTAAAATCGGTCATACTAAGTATTTATTTTTTTGATGATTTTAGAGGGAGTTTCTCCCTTAATAATCTAAATAACAAAATTGTTACAGGCATATGTAAATTATGCAAACCAAGAGGTTCATACATTAGTTCAATTATACTACTAATTTATTAATTGCCATAAACTAATTAATAGTGGTAGTGATAAGCACAACCACGTTGACTATCTTAAAGAAAAGGAATAATAAGACATACTAAACTGTGAGCTTTGCAGTGAATACTTTTTATAGTTAAGTTTCCTAGCACGCAAAACTGCAGATTTTCAAAAACATGTTTTAAAATTTACAACTAATTCAGGAAATAGATTTTCTAATCACCGATCTAAAATCTTTTGTTGAATATCATACTTGGTAACAAGGTTTGCATGTAAAAAGTTAGCTTAAAAAGTTAAGTAAACTGTTATCATCCAAATTTGTTTATTAGTAACTTTTTAACATATAGTATAGGTTGACTTAAACATTGTAAGTATAGATTGACTTAAACATTGTATCAAATTCTCTCGCATACATTAATAATAAGTAATAATAAAAATGTGTAACTCTGGGGGAGTCTGGGTAAGAAATTTCATCAAAGTTTCAAAAAAATTTTTAAGATATATACTTCAAGATAAAACACGACTATAAATTCCTATTTTGATATTACCTATGACAAACTTGCAGTTAATATTATTTAAACCAAAATTTTCTTTCACGACGCTTAAAAGTACTATGATCTAAGATAAAAATATTTTTTTACAGTATTTTTTTAAACCTGCTGTGGATGCTTAAGCCTCCGGAGGTTGCTTAAACAAAATAAAAAGTTAAAATATTTTACATAAAATGTTGTTTAATATTTTCTCCAAATATATCTAGTGGTTTCAATAGTATGCTATATTTTAACTATGTTCTCAAACATCTTCAACTCAAGTTAAAATTAAATACCTTTAAACCAATTATTTTTTACACCAAAATCTTAGAACTTCTGAAATTGCATGTTTGTTTAAAGGAAGGAAAACATTTACATTACCTTAGAAACCCTTGTTCGTCATTGAAACCATAACAAGAATAATTTAGGGCTATCATCGAATCTCGATTTGTATAAAAATCATTTAAATTTATTACATTGTCTCCCGAGTTATTTATTTATGTTAGGATAATCAAGAAGGCATTGCGATATTTGGAATCAGTAATGGTTATTGAATTTTCAGCAGGATAGCAGTTCTTTTTAGCTTCAAGAGCCTTGTGGAATAGTAAAAAAATACATTGTGGTAAAGCGAAAATGCAATATGGCAAGGTGAAAATGCATTGTGGTAAGGTGGAGATGCACTGTGGTATGTGAAAATGCATTAAAACTATTTTTCATTAAAAACCCATAATCTTGCTTTTTCTTTTTACAGTCATCCCGCGGTCTAACATTATTGTTAATGCTTTGTTAAGAGAAACGGGCTTCAAGTTACAATATTCATTGCTCATTTTTAGGCATTATTAAATTTTGCTTTAAAATTCGTTTGTGGAGATTGTTTTTGAGGAACGCTCTGCTTCGCTTTAAAAATCGTTTGCTGAGATTTTTGAAGAATAAAATAGAAACTTTGTTAAAAATGCGAACATTTATATACGCTTAACTCTAAAATAAATCTATGTTTTTCAATAAAAACTTGTAGGTACAAAGACAAACTTCTGAGTTAAAATATCAAAACCGTGACCCTTCGAAGACAAAATACTGATATAAATATCAGTATATCAACTATTTTAGATTTAACATAAAAGTTTGCAATGATTACATAATGCTATCGAAAACATTAACGAAAAAATGAAACTTTTATAAGTTACTTAATATTTTAATAAATGTTATCAAGTAAACTGCGTTGAAATCGCTTCGTTTCACACTTGTCCAATCTTGGAGTTTGCCTAGCCTAAATATTCAAAAAATCTCAAACACCGAATAAAAAATTCTACGCTCCCGTCAAATATCCTATCAGAAAAAAAAAGAATGAAAACTCTGCTTTCAGTCAAAGATATTATTTCTTTCAAATTGAATATAGCACATTTTTTGGATTTACAAAATAAAATCAGACAAAATAGGTATAAAATTTCCCCATAAAATCTTCATAAGTAAGTCATTAAAATGGATGTTCAACACAATTTGAAATAGAAATCATCTACAACTCTTCAGTTGGGGGCGGTATAACATTTTTACGGAAGCCATGTGACTCAACAAGTTCAATGATTTCCTTAGTACTCATCTCTGATATATCTTTCCTCTAAAAAAGCGATTATTTATTTAACGACAATTAATAATTGCAACAATACAAAAACAATATAAAAATGTCAGACCTCCTCAGTACTATCATCTTTTATAAATACCAAGGTTGGATCAGCACCCCCAATATATTTTACTTCAAAATTAGAACTGTAATTCAGTTAAAGAAGACTCAAATTAATTATCGCAAATATCATCGTCATAAGCATCACATTAATATCAACAAGGTCATATTTATAAATAATAATTATAATAAGATCGTATTCATAAATAATAATAATAATAATAATAATAATAATATCGTATTCTAAAATAATGATAATAACAAGAAGTATTCATAAATAATAAGAACAAGATCGTATTCAATAATAATAATGATAATAACAAAATCGTATTCATAAATAATAATGATAACAATAAGAATAATTACAAAAAGATAATAATTAACATATACAAAAAAAAAATTTCTTTTAAATAAGAATATTTAAAAAAAGATACTAAAAAGGTGCATGATCATTAATAAAAGCCTTCACCTAAAAAAAAAAAAAAAAGATATAATAATTAAAAATTAAAACAAAGCATTCTAAATGTAAGAAATTATATTTTTCAAGAAAATGGTGGAGTGCATCTGAGTCCCATTTTATCAACTTATTCATTTGATGAATAAGTTGAAAAGTTTTAAATTTTGCTTGATAATCTTACTTTTAAAGTTTTTTTTCCTGAAGATTTTTTTACAACTATACACTGCAGTCTTGACAAAAAAAAACATTGTTTTTTGATCACTTAGCTTAGATTTTTTACATAAATAAATGTTGTATACTGCTAACAACTATTGCAGCATTTGTTGATATTAATGAATAGATGATAATATTAATGAATGGCGCATCTCATACTGAACACTTTACTTTATGTCTTATTGAACTATTTTTTACTGTGTTCTCATGTTCTTATATTCCTTTTTATCAAGATGAGAGTATACGAATGTCTTCATCAGCATCACTTTAGATCTAAGATTATCAGAAAGATCATTAATATAAGAAACAACACAGGACCAATTATAGAACCTTCAGTTACCACATAAGTTACTGGAAACAAAGGAAAGGATTGCCCATATAGGATGTGGTTAATAAAGAACAATTCTATAAAAACTTTTTATTTTTAATGTAAAATATTAAAACTTTATTTTCTCTTTCTTTTATTCTTTTAGAAACTTTCCTAGATAGACAATATAAAACAAGCTTATGAAGAAGACCACCATGCCAGGACTCATGAAAAACCTATTGCTTTTGATATGTCAAGAGCATAACCCTAAACCTTGCCTCGCCACTTCTAATAAAATGCATAGTAGAATTGCTCAGCTAATGGTTAACAACTCTGTTGAAAACCATTTCCGAATGAAATGATTGAAATTGTATTGATTGCCAGAGAGTAAATTGACAAAAAATAAAAAGTTTTTTAATTAAAGACTCAAAAAATTTTGCTAATAATAGTTAGAAAACTGACCTCATTAGGAGATAACATATAAAGTTGCATAAGTAGAATGAAATTCAAAGAAGGTAGAATTAAATTACTAGAAGTAGTGTCAAGAAGATCCGGTGTTGATTATCATAGACAAGAAACAACATAAAACAGGTTTACACATATACTAGTCTATTAGGCTGGTCAACAGAAATTTATTGTTTACTTGTACAGTTTTTTCCTAAGAAAAGACTGTAGGAGTTTCCTTCTACAAATCAATAATCAGATGCAGTTAACATATGCCCAGGATGAGTTTATGTCTAGAATTAATTCAAAGATTTCGTGTTGATGGCTTCGATGAAGTTGTTTAATTCTATTGCTTAGAAGTTATAACTTTCCTAAGATATATCTAAATGTAATTTCTAGCAGTTAGATTTTTAAATAATGACATACTAATTACCTCACCTTTACCTATTTCTTTAAATATTTTAAACATTTATATCTCTTCTTTTTTTGTTGCTCAATTGAACTTTTTAAGTTCTCTAACATCACATAAGAATGATCTTCATTTTTGTACCATAATCACATAAGAATGATCTTTATCTTTTGAACCATAATGTAGGTAATTTTTTTTAAGAAAGAATTTAGAAAACATTCAGTTTTAACAATTGGCATTTTATAATTAACCAATGATAAAAATCTTAAAAATTAATTGTCAATTGATGTTCCTGATTATCTAAACTTAAAATATCAGTAATTAATCCTATTTTCTTCTTTAATCCTCTTTAAAAAACTCACTTCATATAAAAACAAGTATCAAGAGCAGGGGCTATTCTAGACCGTATTCTAGACCGTTTTTGATACCGTTAACCATATTTGAGAACCTTTTTTTTGTGAAAAAAATGTTTTTTTAAGTTTTTTTTGTGAAAAAAATTCTGCTAAAGTTTGCCAGAACGAGGGGATACTGCCGCCCAAACTTTTTTTCCTAGAATAGGCCTTGAAGAGTCAACTGTATGATATGCCTAACAAATGTAAAACTTTACAAATGCTAAATTTTTATTTTCAATATTCAACTTTTACTTTATTACTGTATAGAATAACATATAAAGATATTAAAAGAGATAAACCAAAAAAACTTACATTTGGAAGGCGATTTAATCGTCACCCACCACATGTCTAAAAATAATAAAACATTTCAAGCATAACGAACTATTCTTTTTTAAATGTTGAATATAATGTTGAATAACATTATAAACATTTCATAACATTTTAACTACCAATTTATTATACAAATAAAATCTATTATACAAAAAAAAAAAAAAACGACACAATTGATTGTTTTTTGACCACTAGTTTCAATAAAATAAAATGGTTATGTTGAATAGTGACAGTTGCTGCCTTACCCCTAAAAATATTAAAACCTTTTCAGTATATCCAATATTATTACATTTTATTTATATTAAACTTTTTTATAGTTAGAAATTTCCAGAAGAAACAATAATTCTAACTGAAGAGCTTTCATCAACTTTATTTACGATTACAAAATTATTGAGATTCAAAAAATAACTCACATCATAATTAATTTTTATTTTTATTTTTCCTCAACCAATAAAAATGTGACTTTTAAATAAATGCTTTTAATTTTGTTTTTAGATTAAAAATTTGGGAATTATGCATTTATATTAAATATTTTGATAACTCTTTAAGAGATGTAAATATCAAAATATCATCTAAAAACAAAATTGGAATTATTGTTTTTATTTGCAAAACAGTGCAACCTGTATTCTCCATAACAATATAAAACAGTGCAACCTGTATTCTCCATAACAATATAAAATCATCAAAACTTTAATACTACTCTAACAAGAATTTCACTGCAAGTGAAAAACGTCTAATAAGAAAAACCATTGTTTTTAACTTACCCTGTTTCACTTCAGATTATAACTACTGAAAAAACCCGTCATTTGGAGAAACTCAAAACATATTTTTGACCTTTAAAATATAAATTTGAAAAAAAAAAAAACTAATTCATTACTCATCAAAGTAACCATTTTAAAAGATGAAGTTTTCAAAATATTGTAAAAACTTGTGTTGTGGTACCTAATGGCAAGCCCAATTAAGTCAGAAATACTACTCAAATTACTATAAAAAATAGCAAGTCCATACTGCTTTATTGAATGTAACTTTTTGTTGTATAGGTGAATGTTCACCAAAAGAAACAAACAATATTGCAAAAGTTTTCTTTGACAACATCAAAACTTTTCTATTTACCCAAAAGGCTACAATGTGGATTTCGTGCATGGATAAGATTTTTGAGTGTCTCATTCATATTTTATTTTAGATATTATTCAAAAAATGACAATAGAAGATGTAAAGAAAACTCTTGTTGAAGAATAAAAAAAGAATATACAATAGCGATTTCAACAACAAAAAAAAATTATACAAAAAAGATTCCAACAAAAAAATGATTATACAAAAGGGATTCCAACAAAAAAAGAATATACAAAAGGGATTTCAACAAAAAATGATTATACAAAAGGGATTCCAACAAAAAAAAATTATACAAGAGGGATTTTCCAACAAAAAATTGTTGACTATTCAAAATCTGGAGAAACTTTAAATGAAGGTTATACTGCGTTTTTCGTTTTTTCCGAAATGAACATTATTTTTGCAATTTTTATATAATTTCGGTTCATTTGAGTACCAGGTTAACATAATTTTTAAAAACTTTTTTTTTGAAAATATTAGGGACCCATTAAATATTCGAGGGTCTTGAGGGACCCTTTAAATTATTTTTTATTGAAAAAAAATTTAAACTTAGAGTTTTTGCATTAGATAGAACACATTTGGGGGTGAGAGCAGATTATTTTTAAAAAAGTTGTTTTTTGAGACACCCTAATATATATATATATATATATATATATATATATATATATATATATATATATATATATATATATATATATATATATATATTGCTTAGTTGTCTTTAGTTTTTTCCGTAAAATGTAAATTCAGAGAACCAGAATAAAACATTAAAATAATTAAAAACTTTATAATAACTTTTGTTTTTAATTGGTAGACTACCAGACTACCATTGATAGACTACCAGGGTCGATTTTGAATTTTTTTAAAGAAAAAATATGGGGAGTAACTAAAAGTAGCAGAATTTTATAAAGAATGTAAATATGGCTTTAAAATTTGAATTAAAAATTTTTTTGCTTGGGTAATTTGACTTTTTATATTTCAATGAAATTTTGACTTGGTTTCTCAAAAAAAACCGGTTTTTATTTAAACAAGCCTTTTTTCACTTTATTTGATAAATATGGGATATAAATGGGATTAAAACTAATTTGATATGAATATATTTTCTTTAAGAATTTGTATAAAATTTTAAAGAAATATTTTTATTTCAAAATTAGACTTTGAATTTAAATTTAACTATGCATGTTAATTTAAAACTAAAATTAGATTGAGATTAATTTAAAAATATTAAAATATTTTTCAACGTATTTTAAATACAGTTTGGCCTATCATCACATAATAATTTTATTGGTATTAATGTTAGAAATACAGTGAGATATATTTTTTAAAAACCAAATTGTTTCAATAGTTATAAATTCACTACAAAAACATTTGTATTAAACTTTCAAGATCTTGTTTACTATTATTTTTAAGTATTAACTTTCAACTAGCCTCTGTTTGGACAAACCCTACTTTCTTTTTGAGTGTACGCTCTGTAACTTGCACTCTGTAACTTGCTTCTGTAACTTGCTTTACGCAACATTCAACAGATTGTATATGACATGGTCAAATGGGAACCTGCATAGGATTTGATAAAAACACATTGATTTCAGAAGTTGTTAGAGGTAAGACTGGTTGTTAGAGAGTTAAGACTAAACCGGTGACTCCCATGATATGTGGTGATTAAAAAACCAGTGACTCCCATGATATCTGGTCTACCAATTTTTCAGCATTGAAGTTCATAACAGGAGTTTTTCTAGGTCTAGGAGAAGAATCACCTTTTTGTAGATCTTCATTTCCAGTACCTCTAATGTCTTTTATCTTATTATTAGCTACACTTCTATCCTTTTCAGTATTAGAACACAACAATGTTTGTAGAACTGAAACTGAAACAAAACCAAGCTGAACTAAAACTGAAACAAAACCAAGCTGATCTTTGAATAGAGGGTGATAATATTTTAATGACTTCTTCTTGAAATTTGAGTTTCTACAGCAGGTAAAGTACATGTTTAGAACTTAAATCCAAAAATGTTTACCTTTAATCTTAAATCAACAAAGAAAACAAACACCCACTATGTACTCGATGAGAGACCATAAATTTTCTAAATCTTTACCATTTACTCCATGTTTAGAGATCCATATTCTACATATTCAGTTAGCAGAAGCTAACCATCTTGAATGTGAAACAGGCCCAATATGTAATAAACTAAATTTTAGCCGTAAAATTTCACTTCTAATGGCACAAACAACTTTATAACCATAAAATTGATCTGCAGACAAGTTATTTATTATTTTATCATAAAGTGAATTACCAATTTTAATAGTTTCAAATACAGGATTTAAGTCTAGATCTGTAGACAGATCAAGCATGGACCCAATAAAACCAGACCATTTATTGTTAGATTTTGCTTGATCATCTAAGTTAGTTATAAGATGCCTTAGTGGTAACCCTTTTGTATGGAGTTGAGATATTAGTCAAACAAGTTTTTTCCCTAATTTTATTTCTATATGTTTGATGACCCCACCCTCTCAAATAGTGTTTTCATTTGTAGAGATTCCAATAACAGCCAGTAAAGACTTATCAATACCAATATCAGTCAACCATTCAACAATTTTATTTGCTATAATCTCTGCATGTTTAACACTTTTTGTTTCTTTCTCATAACTAAAGTTAAATAAATATTTTCTTTCAGGTTTCATAAAAACAGAGTCATGATCTTATTTCACACTCACTGGAAATTTTGCATTTGAGGCAAGAAGTTCAATCATTTGTTTGGCTTGATCAATTCTCCCATCAAAAAATATGCATTTCACTTCTCCACTTTTTGCTATTTTGTCAAAATCCTTACAAAGATCAGAGATATTTTTTTCTTATGCTCTAGAAACCTTACTATGGTTGATAACTAACTTTTTATCATCAGATGTTATTAAACCTGCATCAATAAGTGCTGGTGTAGCAATTGAAGCTGTAGCATGTGCAGACACAATAAATCTATGTGTGGAGAACTTATATATTTTATATATTTAATCATTAACTAATTTAATATATATTAATCATTATTAGCAAATTTAATATATAATTTTTTAAAAAAATTAAAAAAAAAAAAAAAATGATTTACTGACCGTCATTAAGACAAAAAAATGTTTTAGTAAAATATTCTAGGAAATTTTAAGGTATTTTATGTATTTATTTAAAACTTTTAAACTTGTTTAAAAATTTTATACATATTGAGTTAAATCAATTTTTCATAAATTAAATGTAACTTTGTTTTGTTTTTTAAAAGTCTGTTTATTTTATTGACAATAATGTCCAGTAATGTCATTATTCCGTAAAAAAAAGAAAACAAAAATCGTTTATATTTTCATAAAAATGGCTAATCACATAAGTAAATATTTTTTCAAAATTTCAAAATTAAATTAGATATTCTCCATAAAATTTCAAACTTTTTACTCAAATCTCATTAAACCATTAAACCTTATCTCAAATTTTATTAAACCATTTTTTTTTAAAAAGTCTGAAATTGACACACCCTACTACCACCCCAAACCAAAACCTCAGTTGATGTAGCAGGACTCCTCGCATGTTCTGCCTATTTGTCAGTCAATGTATGAAAACAGTAAAATAATAAGAATAAAAACATTCAGAATGTTATTATTTAAAAAATAACAATAAATACATTCTGTATGTTTTAAAAACATTCAACAAGTCTATTATTTGCGTTTTTTTTGTTTTTTTTTAAAAGATAAAATTTAATTAGTTTCCTCAATTAACTTTTATGGTTTAAATTTGATTGCTATAACTCTATGTATCATAGAGTCACAGCAATCGTTTAAATGCAGTTCAATAATGATCACACACAGAAGTCATGTACCGAAGTTGCAAATTAGTTAATTTCATCTAGATATTTTTGAGAGAATAAATTGCTTGTGAGTATTTTAAGTGAAATATTATACTTATATGACTCATATTTAATATATTTTCAATGAAAAATGGAAGTCATCAACTATTTCTTGCTAAAGTATAGCGTTTTGAAATTGTTGTTTATTTTCAAACTGTAGTGATATTACGCAAAAAAAAATAAAATGATCAAAATGTATACATTTAATTTATTCAAGTAGCCTAAAATATGATAAATATATTTTTTAATAATGCTTTTAAAAAAATCATAATAGTTTGCATATTGCTTTAAGTCGCAGCTTTTAATTGCTAA